TCTCTCTCTCTGTCCCTCTTCCTTTCTCTTAGGCACTCGTGCTACGCATTAGCACACGCATGCAAACACACACATTGACACACACACACAGACTCACACACATATACACACACAGAGGCACGTACACACGCACATACACACAGACTCACATACACACACTCGCACACACACACTCACACACACTCTCACACACACACACACACACATGCACAAAGACACATACACACACCCATTATATTCACAAACGACATAAAGTCAGACATCCGTCTTGGGATATCTGAATACTCCCTAATAAATGATCGTTTAAAGACCGTTAATGAGCTCCCCTCATTTATATGCAACGATATTTCGCCACCTTAGAATGACAAAGTTCTATATCTGACAGTTTTAACCATTTTGCGTTACTTAGACCATGAGGTCAAATGTTCTAATACTCTATCCAATTCTTACGATTATTCTAAGTCGTTATCAAGATATTTAAAGAACTTCATTCGAAAAAGTTTGACATGTTGTGAAACTCATAAGTTTTAACTCCAATATTCTGGAAAAGCTAGGTACTGAGTAGCGAGAACTTTGTAAATGTAGGATACCGATTTGACGAATAACAATCTGTTAACACAGTTGGACTGCACAAACCCCACAAAGCTAACAACTTCCATAAAACTGAGCAGCAGCTGGCCATATCTGACCGCCAGTGTATCTTTTTTTTCCCATAAAGTCTTCTTCTTATGTCTTTAAGACCATTCAGAGCTTGAAATAAACTATGTGGTTCCATTTTTTCTTATCTTCTCTCTGGGCGTCGTCTGTCCACTAAAGAATGTATCCCTCCAACAACCCCATTCACTCTTGTTTAAAAATCAACTTATCTCCGTTTCCAGGTTGTGCCAGTCTGCTCACTGATGTCATCTTCCCACCTATTCTTCTGGTCTTTCACATGATCTTGTTCCTGTTCTTCTCTATTCGGTGTATATTTAGGTTCATTTGTTATCTTTTACTCAACCGATGTGCCCTGCCCATTTTCATTTTTGTTACAGTATGACTACGGGGACATCTACCTCTTCTGTTTTCTCGCATATTATTTGGTCTGGTATTCCTAGGCCTAGCATCTTCCTTTCCATTACTGTTTGTGTTGTCCCTGATTTCTTTAGGATATTTCTGGGGACTGGCCAGGTTTGACACCCATAGTGTATTGTTGGGACAAGACAGATTGAAAACTTGTTTTTTTAAAGTAAACTTGGTGGATTTTGATATGTACATCTTTGTATCTTCCAAAGCAGCTCCAAGCCGAATGTACCCTTCAGTTCACCCCGGTTTTTTGTTCTTTCCTCCATATTTATTGTTGGCTTAAGAATCAGATTCGGGTTTAGTTGTGTAAAAATCAAGACGTAAATTGTCTTCTATTTGATGCCTTGACAGAAAAATAGTAAATGATCTTACACTCATGTTTCTAATCTACGTTTATTTTGAAACTAAGAAGTGAAATTTAAGAAAAATGTTTACTTATACTTTTGTGGGGAACGTCTAAACATTCTTTAAAAAGAAACTTTACATTGCAAGATTATTGCTATCTTGTGACAACGCCTTTTTCTGGTTTTGATGAAAATCACTAGGAAAGCCCTGTCCTATTCCTATAGCAAAAACGGGATTTAGTAGAAAATGAAACAGAAATTCTATGGAGCACGGAAATTAACCGTGGTAATTTGGGGTCCAAAGGGAACAGTTTTTAGCTGTAATTTACCACTATTGCTAAAACTCAGAAAAGTTACAATTTTGAGTTAGTACAAGATTGAATTCAGCTCCCGTAATGTTGCAACCTGTGATACTGGCCAGGAATAAAAAGAAAAGTACACTGTGCACAGCCTCAATGAGTCAATTTACATGCCATTCCACAAGATGTAG